ACAAGCATTACCGAAGACTATGAACATTATGAAAGTACATTTGGTGAATAGAGAAATGAAGAATATTCASAAGGACGATACACGGCTGTTTAGTTGCATCAAGCAGAAAAAGAGAGAAAGGTAAAAAAAATATGATATTATACTGTCTGAATTTTGCTATGTAGGCAATCTGGAGCGACGCCATTTTGTTCAACAAAGAACGTTGGGAGCTTCTTGTGGCTCCTAAAAAATCTTCTTAAAAGGACRTTTTTGTGGATACGACACACCTACTTAATCTATATTTGCTGAATGAAMAAGAAAAACACCTGAGGATGGTTGTTTTGGAGGGCATGAAAAATGGTAGGGCAGCAAATCTCATTCATGCTTTACGCAAGATGGCGTTGCTGCGCTTTGCCTATATGTTAACTGTGAGAATTGAACGACGGTCATTATACAAAGAATTGCAGTTTATATGTAAACGARTTTCTCTATGTTTCTATTAGATAGTCTTCCTGGTCTTTTATTTCARTATAAAAAAGAATGTGCAAACATTTTTCTTTTCTCTTTCTTYGAATAGGGAGCGGCATAGAGATCGATCCTTATCAACCGACCGGTTGACAACTCGAGGTAGGCTTCCAGGCAATTATGAAGTTCGTAGTTCCCAGTGCCATTTGTAAAGGTATAGCCGTGCCTTGACACCAAACAATTTGACGGTTGAGTTTGCAGTGATAAATAAATACCATATTGTAGGCTAGTAAATGTAGGACGGGTGTGTAACATTGCAAGCTGGACCTCGCTTTGAAGGCTCGGCCACTTATCAAGATGGTGCTTGGAACTGTAGTAGAGTATATGTGCCTCTTAAATTCTCTGTAATATCTGTCTTAACTCAACCATATCTATCGGTTCTGTTGCATGTTTCTTAACCGTGAAGCTAAAAGAAAACGCATTAAACCGCCAGACGGTACGTATCTTGCCGTACGCACGYTCAGTCGGCAAGCTTAAACTAACGCTAATGTTAAAACCGTTCTGTATCTAATTATTTAATAGCCTTTTTATAATTTAGCCATACAAGCACTCTATTTATAAGCTTATGCTCTAATTGACAGCTATCTGTGACGTGTATATGATCCATACTTACAGCTCTCCAATAATGAGAGTACAATTGACAGTTGTCTCACAGTGTCATTTTTTTCTCTAAACAGGATATTCATCTGATACAGATCAGGCTATCCGTCATTCTTGTACTTCTGGTACTGAGCATTATAGCAGAATGGAYATTTTAGCTACCCCACGCATGTCACGCCATAAGTTGAAAAACGCCGCTTTGCTGAGAAAYCGCAAAAACAGGGARGCTTCTAAAGAAAGGGAATCTATTCAAGAMAAAGACTCAAAGCCTAAAAACCAAACAATTCAAATTAAGCTCAAAGACCCGAGAAAAAGTCGAAGTACTGCAGTGAAAAAAGTTGAAACAGAATTCGACAAAGAAGGGAGTTTAATTTACGAAGGAAGCAGTGAATCGTCACTTTGTGATCTGTCAAAAGAAGCTTCATGCTCTTCAAAAACAAAAGGGATGAAAGATTCCGAGGAAAGTGAACTGGACTTTAAAGATAACAAAGCAACAGAGAGTGACATGTCTGTTGACTCTCTAGAATGCCTYGACATTGAGCCTTCCAAATACGAAGCGAAGAAGAGGAAAAGGAAAAAGCCTCCACGAAGTGTGGAGACACTTTCACAAGCGGATAAAGACAGCAAGCCTTCAAAGGCATCCAGTGTACCACCGCTTGTCTTCCCCAGTGATCTTTATGATTGGTCATCTTCTGAGCTWAGTGATACAAAGTGTCACACAGAGCCACAAAGCGAACCTTCAGAAAACAAAGACTTTATTTTGGACTCAAACTTGGTAAGGACAATGAAAGAATCTGCACAAGAAATAGTGCAAAAGGTTATATCTTCTGCAATCACGAAAAGTGAAAGAAGAATRCCAAYGGGGACGTTRTTSGGACCTAATTCAGAAARCACTACTGCAGKTTTCTCAAATGAGTCTGTTAAYGACGATAACTTATTTARCAAAGAYAARAACATTAGTAAAGTGTCATCAGACAAAACAATAGATATTTCACATAAATCAGATCATTCGTTTAAAGATGAACACGTTAGTGAAAGTATTCCAACTGTTGCCGCTGCTGGCTCGCTCACGACAAAAGAAAATATTACCTCGGCAAGTTATACGGTATATACAACACAACCTGTTTTGGTTGGAGCAATGGAGAATGCTGAATGCAGAAACGAGGTCAAACAGAGTCCAACTTGTACACCRAGATCTACTCAGACATCCCCTATTGAATCTACTTTTAACAATGAGAAAGATGTTGTTTCGAGCAAAACGCCTTTGGAAAGAGACTCGGGACCTCAGGTTAAAGACCAAGGGAAAGACATTGACACCCAAAAGAATGATGATATTCCAGTAAAACTATACGACAGTCATGATAATATCACAAGGCAAATTATTCATTCAGTGTCACGGGCACTTAATTTGAAYACCAAGCTCGTCACACAATCAAGTAGTCATGTTTTAATTTCACCAGTTACTACACTGTCACGCAGCTGCACTTCACCTGATGTCGCACGTTCAAGCAGTCAAGCGTTGGTCTCATCTGCGTCGTCACGAAGTCACGTTTTGGTCACACAAGACTCATTCAGCCAGGCATCAGAGCAATATTCAATTCATAAAGATCTAATGTCACGTAGTCCCGCCATGCTGGAGAAACCAATTGAGCTTCAAATCGAGCTTTCAAGCTCATTGCAGAAGTATGGTGCTCGGAATGATAAAGAGATCTCTATAGGATCACAAAAAGACGTTTTGGGTAATAGTGTTTTACCTAGCACTACGATTGATGACCAGGATTCATTGATAGAAGAATTTTGYAAGAAACTGCCTTACAGTTCAAAGGAAATTTCTTACAAGATCAATTCATCAAGYGATCAAATGCCTACTAGTGGATATTGCTTCTTTATCATCGGCCCAGATGAAAATGTCCAGCAGAAACTAAGTCCTGACAAAACAGAGAAGAAGGACGTAGCAATGCACGCGGTGGAATCCGTACAACGAAGACGAAAGACAAGCCTGTATCGTCGATCTCTTTCGCACCAAAATGAGCGCAAGAAATGGCAAACGACAGCTGACGTGATTACAAAAGTTCACCATCGATCGCTTTCTGCGGACGCAAAGTCCAAAGCTGTTAGAGCAAGCAAATGTGCATCGTGTCCTGTTTTGTCTGAGGTAAGCATTTTGTCCCTGGTACTGTGACCATTGCAATCAAGAAAAAAGTCTTTGAAAACTATGTTGTAAACGTACAAAAAAWTTAAGGAGCGATTGTAAGGTGAGCAGACAATCAAATAAATACTGTGCCTTGAAAGGGTTTCGCGCTAAATTAAATTAAWCGTGATTCCACTTATCATTTTGCCGCAGGAGGATATTGTCCTTGAAGGATTGGAAAGCCACCACCAAGATGTGTGTAACTCGCTGTCTCAGCGTACTTGGGTATGCACTATTTATTACTAGTACCGAGTACCACTACGGAAGAATTATTTTTTCCTCTAAAGACCCCRTGGAGGTCATGGGATGTCAATTTGGAAGACAAACCGAATGGAAAGTTGCAGCTCTTATGTGCCATTCCAGGGGTTCATACTCTCTTGCAATTAAAAGCAAGCTCAGTATTTCAAAAAGAAAAAAAGAGAGAGAGAGAGAAATTGTCTTTATACATGTAAACCCCTATACTAATCATGGCAATGCTAATCCATCTGTATCAAAAATCTTTTTTGTCCTCCGGTTGAAGCTGCGCCTTGACATCACATTCAAGGGATCTACAGACCGTGTATGTTTTTAAGCAAACTCGAAAGTAGAATGCCGTTGTACCATTTCAGATTGCTCTTCGCGTTCACGAGCTGTGGAAGGCCAATAAGMACGAAGAAGCACTCAAGACATGTATGGAGCTAACTGGAGTAAAAAAAGCCGAGAAAAGTAACGCCAGTGAGTCGCTCTCAGGATCTTCAACAGCTCTCGATTTAATTGGAAATAAAGATATCGTGCTGTTTCTCAACATTTTACAGCAACTACCGATTGCCGGGTAAGGAAATTGATGTCACTYTTGTCAAATTCATCCACCCAAGGGAGGGGACCAATAAAGGAGTGTCTGATAATTATAAGAACCCTTTTGAAAGCTTGTGCAATGTCATTAAGAAGTCACTATATTATACTTTGTTTTTTTTTTTAAATAGTTGAGATCAGCGATTTATGATATTTCTGATCAATGTTAATCACTATACTATTAATGTGCAAAGTTTGACCGACTTATTGAAGTAGTGTAATTGTTGACTTTCTATATATAGTAGGTCTGCGCGCATTCAACTTATTGTTGTCTGCTGTTTGTTGCAGGGCTGCTTGGACACTTGACATGTGCGATCTGATTCTTCCYGAGTTGAAATTGTTTATATCAACTCGGATACATACAAGGTAATCAAAGAACTACTAAAAGGGACATTAATTATTCGTCTCACGATAGAGTACCGACAAAAACAAACTATAAGAGGATGATGACACTGGTGAAAAACGCACTGCGCATGTCCTCAGCCTTCCCGCTGAAATCTGCCTAATTTCCTTTGTAAAGCGATTTTTGTGAAAGYTTTTTACAATTTATAAGCTCGTTCACCGACATATAAGATTCATATTTCCATCAATCATTGTTCATGATAGGTCCTTTTAGTATGTAGTTTCYATTTTTATCTTGTCATTTCTATTTTGAGAAAATGAGTTTTTTTTTGTAGTGTTTTCTGTGTTGTCGCTGTAAATCGCCAGTCGCTCTATTTACAGATTTCAAATGCGAGCGCCCACTGGCGGGAAAGCTGTGGGCATGCGCAGTGCGTTTTTCACCAGTGTCGAGGGATGATGTGAACTTGATAGTTTACGTATTATGCTGCATCACGTAGCGGTATTTCAACCCATGACTATTATTAGGAAACAAATAAAAGTTTGCCACTAGATTTTTTAAATTTCTATGCCTCCGATTATATTTTCACAGCCACGTCGAAATGACTTGCAGCATTCTACAGGTGATAGTAAAAAAGGTCAGTGGAGCAGTACTCAAGGCTCAGTCAGGTAAATTTTTCGTTTCTTTAATTTCTTGACCGTATACTCGAAGTAGCAAAAGTCAAACCTTCACGATTAAACACTAGCAAATTCAATTCTTCCTTGCAATAGTGATTGAATCTTTTGTAATAAAAAAATCTATTGCTTTTTTCACAGCAAACAAGAAAAATTCGCTCATCGCTGGGAAATGCGTCAATCATTTACAAGACATCAGAGAGAGAGCTAGCAAGGTTCTAATGGCTCGGCGTCCAAGGATGTACTGTACTGTGACAACAGAGGATCCCATCGCTTTGAAACCTGTTTTAAGAGAGCTTTTGACTGTCATTCAAACTCTTTTGAGTGTATACACAGAATGATTGATTTATAAATGTGTTGATCTTTGATATTTCTAAATAAAACCAGAAAAATGCATTGGACTTTTGCTACCCAAAAGGRTAACAAAGCATTYAGCTTCAACTGTKGTTTATTAATCCGCCATGAAGAAGACTCCGAWAAAAAAGACCGGCGATGTTTTTTTCGGATCTCTTYGGTGTAAAAACTCSTAATYTAGAATTTCTAGGRTCAATGAATTGGAGTTTCTTTGAAATTATCATTTTCCATAATCTGATTTGGTGTAGGTAAAGAAAAAGGAGCGCATCGTTATCGCTTCTCCTGKGTGCAACTKGTAAAAAKCTTTTGATGTATTCAAAYGTTTTGAWTTTCTTCAGCTATACAAAATAATAACTTACAGCCGAACGTTACCCAGGCACCATTATTTATTTTTTTTGTGTTTTCAGGAAAATTAATTGGCATTATTATTTCTGTAGTTATAATACGCTATAGAAATGAAATAGTTACATCTTGACAGCAAAACATAAAATTTYCTTACCCTTGTATTATATTACCTTAAATGATTCAGCTTATAAAGAAAAATTCTGCTTGATCGACTCTGATATTTTTGAGGAAGTGCTGTTTAGGTATATAACCTCCTAACTTATGCGATTACAAAGCAAAATAATGATTACATTATTATTATTATTATTATTATTATTATTATTATTATTATTATTATTATTATTATTATTATTATTATTATTATTATTATTATAATTATTATCATAAGTACATTTCTCCCACTATGAAACGTCCTTTTGTAAATATTTGAAAGCAAAACAAACAAATTTAACCCTTTTAAAGCATAATTTCAATTCCAAGAAAAATCATTATTAAGTGCATTTCATGATCCATTTTGTGAATTGTTCAGGTCGAGTCAAATCCCTACTTTGGTTGGTCATCGATTTGGCAATACAATCCACCAAGGAAAGCTGTAGTTCCTTTTGGACATTCTACACAAGTATGGCTATAGAGAGATATGCGATATCTATTGCCAGAACAGCAGGCGCTCTTGGAAGTAGTTGGTGGTGGAAGGGCTCGTTTCCTTCTTGCTTGGGTCGGCATTTTCAGAATGACCTCGGCCCTCAGGAGCAAATTACTTCCTGGATTTGGAGCATCGTATTCGATTTTTTTGGGGCCCTGGAAAATATCAGCTTGAATGCTCCACATCGACAGAATCGTTGGCAGGAGTGTTTGGGCTGTGTTTATTCTAGTTGTCTTATCGCAGATCTTGGGAAGGTCAGCGTTGCAAGCACTGTAAGGATTCTTTCGTTCGATGGAGGAGCAGGAATGATAGCCTTCTTCGTAAACATTTCGATACGAGACGTGCGCTTTGGGGAGTAAGTAAACTGGGAGTGTTTTGTCGTTTACCGATACTAGACTCTCTGCAACGGATGATATGGTGATGTCAGTGTGCCAACGACTCCATTTATCATAGTTTTTATGTGGCAGAAACAGTTTAAAATCTGCAATAAATGGCATGTACTTGTCATTTGGATATAGCCATTCATGTTTCAACAACCAGTCTTTGTCGTTTGGTATTTTAAATGTCACGTTTTCCCCTCTTGCAAGTGCTTGCAGATCTATAACTCCGGTGTCACCTAGTGCTTCTGTGCGAGTTGGCAGATAGACGGTTCTTCGATGTTCATTATATGCAATGTCATTGGAATATGAAAGCAAACCATCAACGTTTTTCCTAGTAAAGAGGGTATTTGTCGTCAGGCATGGTTGTACTGGTTTWCCGWAGTTTTTGTATTCCAGAACATCACAATAAACGGTGCAAGCCTTCTGAAGTGAAGCAGTGGAGAGAAAATATCCAACCACAAAATCAGCTGCATTAACAGAGTCATCATCCTTTACTTTAATRTTCTTTGCATATCGTTGCGCTTTGTTGGCCTGGGCTACTGAACCAATGGCATCCACCAGCTGGAACTGAAAATCAAAAATATCCTCTCTCAAGGTGAAAAATTGCGCCAAAGTTCCTTCAAGCCTCTCGCATAGCAGTTGGGAGGCSGCTATTGACTTGAGAACGGCACCTCCAATGCTAACCTCTCCGTATAAGATATCACATGTAGCATCTTTAAATGCGGACCACAAAGCGTTGTTTTTTGCCAGTAGGTACCTTGCTCGAGTTGGCTTATAGTTTCCATACTCTTGAACGAACCTATCAACGTCCGAATCGATGTCTTCTGTTTTATTTTTAATGATTTTGTTAAGAAAGGCTTCCAATGACGTGATTTGTGCAGTATTCAATTTAAATGCGTTGCTCATCGATTCCGTGTCATTTTCAAGATCTCCTAGAGAATTCAAAAGAGTTGATCCTCTGACGACCTGAGAAGTTGCATCGGCAATTCGTTCTGCTTGTTCAGCCATCTCTTTCAAATCAGGACTTGAAAAAAGGAGCTTTAGGGGATTRCTGTTAGTTACTACTAAYGCAGCCATTTTGGCGATTTCGGCCGCAAGATTTGCAGCCAATATTCCAGTCATGTAGTKCATGCCTTTTTCCAAATCGTTAATCAGTTGTGTTTGGACAGTTCCCAAAGTTTTTTCGTACTTCACAAGTTCACCTTTCAGAAAGTCAGCATCGGCTCTAGCAATTCCTTCGTCAAATTTTCCAAGACCTTGAAAGTACTTTGAAAACGATTTCGTGGAATCTCTCAGTTTCATATCGAGACTTTCAAAATTTTTAACTATCAAAATTCTAATTTCTTTGGTAATTTCGATAAATTGAAGATTGTCTTTTTTGAGTTTTATCATTTCAGCCAAATCAACTTTGGGAATATTCCTCAAATCTTTGACTGCTCTGAAATGCCTGTCATTCYCCAAACTCTTAAGCATGAAAAGCGATTCCTTGATGTCAACAAGGGAGCAAGCACCTGGAAACTTAATTACTGAACACAGCTTTTCTGCACGTTTCATCAAAACCTTATTTCTTTCCAGCAGTCCACCAGTGAATTCTATATTTGTTAAGCCTGTAAATGCTTGTGTCAAAAATGCTTTCCATAACGGATTCCAAAGGGGTGGAAGGGATTCAGCGTACATTATCAGGGCTTGGGCGTCTCTCATCAGTWTCTGGAATGTAGTAGCATAGTCACACGGCCCTTTGCATTTTTGTGGGCAGAGTCTCTGGAAAATCATTTCATTGATTTGATACCAGAAAACGCCAGCCATCATGGGTAAAGCCTTTTCAACATTACACTTCTTTAATACAGTGCAAGCTGGTGWAAGTTCCTGTTCGTAGAAGTACTCCTTGTCTTGACTGCTGCATTTCGGGTTGTTGTCACATTTATAAGGATACAAATACTTTTCTTTGGAACATAATATGCTATTGGAGCAAATATTTTGTATTGTAGGGAAAGCGCCAAGGTAAACTTCATCAGCATAGTCCGCCGCCTCCTCGCAAAGACTCTCTATTCGTACTTCCTTATGCAACCTATCTATATTAAACAGCTTCACTTCCAAATAGTAATAGATTTGTTGTAGCCTGAAGTAATTGCTAAATTTCAGTTTATAGCTTACCACGCCAGTGTCTAAATCKAAACCASCCGTCTCGTCATGCRTGCCTTTCAACGCACGATAAAATGATTTGAGCTCTGCTTTGTCATTTGTAAACCCAGGTRAATCGAAAAACTTCCTAGCGGATATCTGCAGATTTATCACTGCATTGATAAACCTTTTGAGACCTTTAGCTGTATCGATGTTTGCTTTAAGCGAGGAGAACATCTCATGTTTGTCTTTTAGTAGGTTGGTCAAAGTAATAGTTGTGTTACCACACTCTAAACCAATTGCCAGTAAACAAAAGACCAATTGTATTCTCAGGAGAATACCCATAACTTGAAACAGACTGATATAGGCAGAGATAAGATTGTTGACTGAAATATGAAAAGAGTTATCGTTAGTTTTTGAGTTTGTAGGAGTTGAAATTTTCTTACCATTTAGAACTAAGGCTGTCTTCCCAGGGGCGGAGGAAGAAGGGGAGGGGAATTTCCGACACTTATTTTGATCCCTACACCTAATCACTAAAGAAAATATAAGAATGAATATTCGTTAAACTCTGCCACAGACTTTCGAGTTTTGTAATTTGCGTATTGGCCTTGGTTGGCATTGATGAATTTTTGGGGGTCATGTACCAGCTCTCGGAACGAATCTCATGATAAACAATGGGCCAACTATAGATGGCCTTCCAAACAAGAAAGCAAACAAGGAAACAGTGAAGTTCAGCCTAAGGGGGAAARCCGAAAATCAGGTGTTGAGGGATGCTACATGATTAGATTTTTTTCCACGTACTTTTGAAAAATACTGCATCCACCCTGCATGTCTGTAGACTTCCCAAACTTCGTGTTTCTTTATATAGAGCTAATTGAGAAACGTTTGATACTGAATACAGCATAGCGCATTCCAGGACCAAAATTCAATGTCTATAATAAACCCCACGTTTCACTGGAAAACATTCTAAAATCCAAAATTCTGTAAATTTAATGGAAATCATTTACATCAAATTTACAGAATTTTGGATACCTACATAATATTTACATCAAATTTAAACCTTTAAAGTACGCGATGTTTTCAGTGTTAGCTGTGTATCAAAATGGCATTCAGTTGGCACTTAGTTGCTTTTCATTGTCCTTGGCTGTAATGTAATGAGCTGTCAGGCATCTCAGCCACTTTTTAGACAAATTTTATAGGAAATATTGGCTATCCAAGTTCTAAATATAGGAAGATATAGGATTATTCCCACAAAATATAGGAGCTTTATTGGAGCTAAATTAACTTTTTACATACATTAATTCTAAGAAATAACAAATCTGTTTTAAAGCGCTACTTGGACGAAAATTGCAAAACATTAGAAAAGACTTTGAAATCAAATAGACCTATCCATATGGGTCTGACTAATAATCATGAAGCAACAGATTTCAACAAGATATTGATACAAATCCTTCATATTTTGGGCAAAAATGTTGGAGTAGATGACGATGATGATGATGATGATGTCATCTTGAAGTTTTGAAATAAGACCAYTTTCATGCAAGTAGCACTTT